GAGAGAGAGAGAGAGAGAGAGAGAGAGAGAGAGAGAGAGAGAGAGAGAGAGAGAGAGAGAGAGAGAGAGAGAGAGAGCAGGTAAGTCTCCAACCTCCTGGCGTGAGAGAGCAGGTAAGTCTCCAACCTCCTGGCAGGCCTCACGCGACATCGATAGGATGAGCAAAATCGAATGGATGGCCTCACACGATTTCCGTCGATAGGATGAGCAAAATAGAATGGTATACACTGCCCGCTTTCTGCAATCGACAGCAAAATGTGAAAAACCACCCGCCAGACAAAGTACCATAAAAGCGGCCTGGCCCCTCCCCGACTCGAACCCGCGCCTGTCCTCACATTTTTGGGCAGCGCTTCCCCACGAAACGCAACGGGAGACAGCCTCGACCCCGCGGCCGCCGGGCAAGAAACTTCCTGCGGCCAATTTCACGGGACACTTCCTGACAGTGTGCCGTCCAAATGACGTGTGGGCCTTATTTTTGCTGGGCCCAAAAGGACCGTCTTACGGGGACCGGTTTTTCCTTTAGGTATTGGTAGATAGATAGATAGAAGGAGAACTTTGTGGCATCGGTGACAAAGTTAATGAGATCGTCGGTGTTGAGTAGAGCGGCGCACTTCACTTCCACTAACTTCTTTTGAAGTTGGATATGAGAGGGGGGGGCGATGAGTGGCACCATTTAAAGATGGAGGGGAAGCAGAGTGGTGGTTGATGGGTTGATGATGGAGAACTTTTCTAGTTGAGCGGGGGGAGAGAATACGAAACATTACTAGGGCTCAGCGGGGGAATGAGGGAGGAGAATATATTGAGGAGAACCTCTAGCGGAGTTGGGGATGAGGATTGAAGAAGAAGATGGGAAGGAAAGTGATGTTTGAGAAAGGGGTGGAAGAGTGGTTTATCCTCAGGGGGAGGGGAGCGGTAGGAAAGAGATTGAGAACTGGAGCGAGGCGAGGAAGACGATGAGCGAAGGCAAGCCGAAGGTGATTTGGGTTGAAAGCCCACACGAGGAGGGGACGAGGGAGCAGTGAACAGGACAGGACTTCCAGGGCAAGGGGAAAGGACCGCGCTTACCGGACTTG